GGGGGGGGAGGGGGGGTGGGGGAAGCACGTGATGGTGGTTTTAACATGTTGATGGCGGTAGTAGCAATGTTGATGGTGGTGGTAGCAGCGTTGATGGGGTGGTACAGTGCTGATAGGCGGAGGTAGCAGTGTTGATGGTGATGAGTAGCAATTTACGATGGTGGTGAGGTATCCGCAGTGTTAATTGGTGGTAGTACCATTGTTGAAGGGGTGGTAGCACTCTTGATGGTGGTGGTAACAGTGGTGATGGTGGTGGGTAGCAGTGTGAGCATGGTGGTGGTAGCAGTGTTTGCGCGGTAGTAGCAATGTTGGGATGGAGGTTGGTAGCAGCAGTAGATGGAGTGGTAAAAAAAATAAAACAAGTGCTGATGGCAGCGGTAGCAAGTGTTGATGGTGATGTGTTTGCAATGTGTCGTGCGATGGTGGTGGTAGCAGTGTTAAGTGGTGGTAGTAGCATTGTTGATGGTATGGGGTGCGGTAGCAGTGTTGGAGGTGGTGTTAGCAAGTTGATGTTGGTGGAAGCAGTGTTGATGGTGGTGTGTAAGCATGGGTAATGGTGGGGTGCAGTGTTTATGGGTGGTAGCAGTGTTATGGGGGGTAGTAGAATGTTTGATGGTGGTGTGGCAGTGTGATGGTGTGGTACAGTGTTTGATGGTTGTTGTGCTAGTGCCGGATCAGCCGGGCTGTGGCTCATACGTTGGACTGCGTGCGGCCAGCAGTAACAGCCTAGTTGATCAGGCCCTGATCCATCGGGAGGCCTGGTCATGGACCGGGCCGCGGGGGTGTTGATCCCCGGAATAACCTCCAGGTAACCAAGTAGCAGTGTTGATGGCGGTGGTAGCAGTGTTGATGGTGGTGGAGCAATGTTGGCGATGGTGTGGTCGCAGTGTTGATGGTGGTAGTAGCAGTGTTGATGGTGGTGTAGCAGTGTTTATGGTGGCTGTACAGTGTTGATGGTGGCGGGACAGTGTTGATGGTGGAGGTAGCAGTGTTGATGGTGGTGGTAGCAATGTTGGCGATGGTGGTGGTAGCAGTGTTGATGGTGGTAGTAGCAGTGTTGATGGTGGTGGTAGCAGTGTTGATGGTGGTGGTAGCAGTGTTGATGGTGGTGGTAGCAGTTTTGATGGTGGTGGTAGCAATGTTGGCGATGGTGGTGGTAGCAGTGTTGATGGTGGTGGTAGCAGTGTTGATGGTGGTGTTAGCAGTGTTGATGGTGGTGGTAGCAGTGTTGATGGTGGTGATAGCAATGTTGGCGATGGTGGTGGTAGCAGTGTTGATGGTGGTAGTAGCAGTGTTGATGGTGGTGGTAGCAGTGTTGATGGTGGTGTTAGCAGTGTTGATGGTGGTGGTAGCAGTGTTGATGGTGGTGGTAGCAATGTTGGCGATGGTGGTGGTAGCAGTGTTGATGGTGGTGGTAGCAGTGTTGATGGTGGTGGTAGCAGTGTTGATGGTGGTGGCAGCAATGTTGATGGTGGTGGTTGCAGTGTTGATGGTGGTGGTAGCAGTGTTGATGGTGGTGGTAGCAGTGTTGATGCTGGTGGTAGCAGTGTTGCTGGCGGTAGTAGCAATGTTGATGGTGGTGGTAGTAGTGTTGATGGTGGTGTTAGCAGTGTTGATGGTGGTGGTAGCAGTGTTGCTGGCGGTAGTAGCAATGTTGATGGTGGTGGTAGCAGTGTTGATGGTGGTGTTAGCAGTGTTGATGGTTGTGGTAGCAGTGTTGCTGGCGGTAGCAGCAATGTTGATGGTGGTGGTAGCAGTGTTGATGGTGGTGGTAGCAGTGTTGATAGTGGTGATAGCAGTGTTTATGGTGGTGATAGTAGTGTTGTTGGTGGTGGTAGCAGTGTTGATGGTGGTGGTAGCAGTGTTGATAGTGGTGGTAGCAGTGTTGATGGTGGTGGTAGTAGTGTTGATGGTGGTGGTAGCAGTGTTGATGGTGGTGGTAGCAGTGTTGATGGTGGTGGCGGTAGTGTTGATGGTGGTGGCAGCAGTGTTGATGGTGGTGGCAGCAGTGTTGATGGTGGTGGCAGCAGTGTTGATGGTGGTGTTAGCAGTGTTGATGGTGGTGGCAGCAGTGTTGATGGTGGTGGCAGCAGTGTTGATGGTGGTGGCAGCAGTGTTGATGGTGGTGGCAGCAGTGTTGATGGTGGTGGTAGCAGTGTTGATGGTGGTGGCAGCAGTATTGATGGTGGTGGCAGCAGTGTTGATGGTGGTGGCAGCAGTGTTGATGGTTGTGGCAGCAGTGTTGATGGTGGTGGCAGCAGTGTTGATGGTGGTGGTAGCAGTGTTGATGGTGGTGGCATCAGTGTTGATGGTGGTGGCAGCAGTGTTGATGGTGGTGGCAGCAGTGTTGATGGTTTTGGCAGCAGTGTTGATGGTGGTGGCAGCAGTGTTGATGGTGGTGGCAGCAGTGTTGATTGTTGTGGCAGCAGTGTTGATGGTGGTGGCAGCAGTGTTGATGGTGGTGGCAGCAGTGTTGATGGTGGTGGTAGTTATGGTTAAGTCGTTGGTGTTGATGTGGTAGGTAGAGTATAACTTTATTCCCATCGCTCTGTTTACTTTCCTCAGTGGTACTTTGCTATTCTGTATTTGTAAAAAAAAAAATCCGTGAATTTCTACGGGCTTAGTGTTTATGTCTGCTGTGAAAATCTTATGGTAGTCAAAGGTAATGAAAACATTCTGCTACCGCCATTCTACTTTCTTTTAGTTGACTGCTGGTCTTTTAAGATTTCGCTCAATTTTATTTTCTCTCATCAGAGTATGAACCTACTCTGAGTAATGAGCCAATTCTACAGATTATTCTTGATTTGGATATCGTGTTTGTGTAGGAATACTGATTTTTGTGTAGGTTACTGGACTTTCTCTTAAGTATTTAGGTTGAGGTGAGTAGACCTCACAATGTCATTAAGGCTGCAGCAGCTCACCTCTATACCGACACTGAACGTTAACCCTAAAATATGGATATATGTGAAATATGCACTAATATATACTACGCATCTCTCACCGTATATACCCATTCTACGTTAATACATCTCCATCTTCCGTATTGTGTCAGTTCAACATTATTTTTTTCGGGGGTGGGGGAGTTAGGCCGTACGAGTGAGATAGCAAGAATGTGGATGAGAAGGAGTGAGGTAGGATAGAAAGAGTGAAAAAACTGGGGTAAATAGGAAAAAAGAGAGAGGTAGGAAAGATTATGTGACCTGGGCCAGTTTGAGTGGGTTTTTTAAGAGTGGTTTTTGTCATATAGTGATGAGTTTCCAGCTCAATTTATGACGTACCAGTTCTGTCTGGCTTTGCATAGTGGCATCAGCCTGTCTGTTGATAAACAGCTCACCAACTTGTCCCAACACATCAATGGGAGCTGCGGCTTCCATTAACTTCCTTGACACTGTCTCTCACACCCATGTTCTCACTCTGGGTTGTGAGACCACTACAATGTTCACAACTGAACTTTGATTATCAGTGAATGATAAAGCATTCTCTTGGAAATTGGTGTTGTGGTAGTTGTAGTGGTGGTACTGATGGTGGGAGTGTGGTAATTGTGGTGGTAGAGGTAACGTTAATAGGCTTGGCCTGGTGGTAGCAGTGATGGTGGACTCGTAATGAAGGTGGTGGTGCCAGCACTAGTATGGGGCGAAGTTGGAGTGGGTGTTGTAAAAGCAAGTTTGGTGATGAGGCTTTACACACCACTTAAAATTTGATATCATCCTTGCAACGTTTGGGGTTGAGATGAAGCTCTCTGAGGGTCACAGCTTCCATTTAGTCACGCTACACGAGTATTCAAATTCTCTGTTGGGAACCTTGAAAACAATGGGTTCGTGCATACAGATAACGCCTCGTGGTAATAAATACACTACATAACGGAGGACAATACTGTAGTATGCACCGCCATCTAGGCCACGTAACATATCTGCTACGAGGCTAGTGCCCAGGAGTGTACCGCTCTCAGTGTATATCCACCAAGAGGTGTAGTTCTTTAAATTATATATACACCGCTTGTTGTGTATTTCTAATTATGTAGAAATACTTCAAAAATAGTTAGAAAATAGAGACTAAATTGTTTTAGAAATTGTAATCCCGCTACATACATTTCTCATTACGAGTACGAGTAGTTTGTGTGCTTAAAGCAGAAGGCTCGATCCTTCGTCATCCCAGACGGGAGTATAGTGTCTCATGACCCAGCTATGGCATTAGAAAAGGAACATCTATAACCAGGAAAATATTTACATCGGTGGCAATAAAACAATCGCAAGTTTTAATACTACTTTTATTATTAAATAGAAATTTTATCATCAGCAGTCCTGTGAAAAAAAAAATTAAATAAATGTTAAAGCCTAAAGACCTTCAAGAGAGAAATAGACCTAAGAAAGAATTAATTTTTCGAGGGTGGTGAGCAGGAAGGTTGGTCTGAGGAGGAAGTAGCAGCAACCAACTACATACATCAATTAAAAATGCAAATATTGCATGACCACGGGGTTAGGAATGCACTGCACCCATCAATTTCTAACAGGCAGGGTTCGCAAACTGAAATTCGATCCAGACAAAAGCAGTTACATGAGTACACACCTCGGTAAACACACACACGAGGGACCAAATCATAGGGACACAGGGGGGAGACAAGTACATTGACGAACCATTGGTGCATTATATTAGAAAGTCTTTTGTACAGGGATAATGTCAAGGTGAAACAAACTAGAAACTTTTTTGAAGAGAGACTTTTATGTGAATTTCAAATTAGACACTATAGACCCATATTCACATATTGTTTGCTTGAGGTTGAGAGGAAGGACCCAATAACTGTAGCTCAACTCTCAAAAGGCCAACAAATGAGGGCAATGAGTACATAGAACTTAACTGTCTGCCATATTCCTCCACCCTTGTGGCAGGTCGTATACTTCAGCACATATAACATTCCTGACTACCATCTCCTAGCACTATGTAGTGTTTCCTAGAGCTTCAGTACCGTGAGCTTACCTGTTTTCTGTCTTCCTTTTCTCCAGGGGCAGATCATGTGCCTCAGAGGCTTCCATATACGACGGATTGACCAACGAAGGCCACGACAACCTTCTGAGGAAGCTGTGTGGACCCATGGCAAGGGAGCCTCGGGACCCCTCCGGTAGGTTCGTCCAGCAGGCGTTCTTCTTGTCTTCATCCAACACCATGGAGATCGAACTCAGGCTGGGACCAGGAACAAACCTCCTCAACCAGTTCCTCGTCGGCGGGTATTACTTCCACAACAGTAAGTGTTTTTTTGTGGTGTGTATTGTTTATTTGAGCGGCTTAGTGATTTGGTGGTTTTGGCAACTAAGGAAGTTTTTTTGTGGATTGTGGTTTGTCTAGTTAGTGGCCTGGGCAGCGGTGAGTAGTTTTTTGTGGTGTGTGGTTTTTGTAGTTTGAAAACTTGAAAATAGATGATTTTTGTTGTATGTAGATTACGTGGTAGGTGTACTGGGGTATTCACCGCTAAGACTGAGCAGATGTTAAAGGATTACTGTGAGGGAAGAATAATTATTTGCGGAGTTTAATATGGACAGCTAATGGTGGATGTAACTGTATCTGTGGTGTAAGGGGAGTTAGTAATGGCGCTGGTGTTAGTGGTAATGGTGGTGTTTACGGTAGTGGTGATGGTAGTTATGTTTGTTGGTATAGGTTGTGCGTTTCCTTGTGAGTGTGTGTGTGTGTTTAGAAGTGGGCTGTAAGACATGAGCAACACTTGCCAATAAAGATATCTAGGTGTTGCACACGAGTCTTAATCCTCAACGTGTAGGTATTGTATACTATCAATAATATGATCGAGGTAGTTGTGTTTACCACTGGTGGATAGTTCTTACAAGATGAAAGCACTAACATGATAGAAGAACTAGCATGATATAGGCATTAGCATGATGGAGGCATCATCATGAGGGAGGCTCTATCACCATGATGGTAGCATGATGGAAGCTTCTTCCCTGCACCAGCTCGTCTGGAGGGTACCAAGAAGCCAACGAGCGTCTGCGATGTCATGTTCTACGGGGCTTCGAGTCCCGACCAAGGCTTCGTCAGGCATCCTTCAGCGACCCTCCTCTGGAACGTGGAAGGATCTCTCAACTGCAGCTACCTCTTCGTGCCTACTGCCACTCAGTCACTCTCCCTCACGGTAAGTGTCATCATTCACAGTGCCACCTTTCCCCGCTCGGTGAGCGTCACTCTCCCTCACAATGAGGGCCACTTCCCCCCCTCATAGTATCATTCTCCCAGAGTCACAATGTCACCTAACCTCAGCTATACAGAATGAGAGGCAGCTAGACGATACGTAATCTTAGCTGTCATCACTGATATGGGCCGTGAGTTTTCCCTGCTGACCACCTTTCTCCTGTTTTCGTATGTACTATCATATTCTCCAATGTACTCACATGTAGTCCTGTGTATTTTAAAGAGTTCCTATATACTCTCATATGCTCAAATTCGCAGCCTTGTGTTTCACATTACTGTCCGAGGCAAAAAGTGTCCAGGCAGTCTTCCCTTCACACACACACACACACACACACACACACACACACACACATGCAAAAGTTGACCCACTAACAACGCCTTCCCTTTTATCCTCAATAAAAATATAATAAAAGCGAGAAAATATATTCATGAGAAGATTATGAGAGTAATCACAAGAGGAGGTGTGTTGTTGCAGGTGCAGGAAGCCAGCCAGAGTGCCACCGAGGGCCACTGCTCCACCAGGTGCGGGGAAGAGGGGTGCCAGTGTCACCCATCCATGGTACCTCTCCAACACGTCGACCACCTTCTCTTTATCCACACAAAGACACATCGTGTTATCTCCTGCCACTGTGGCCGAGTCAAGGTGCGTCCATTAGCCTCACCACTGGGGCCAAGTTTTATATTCTGACAGTGTGTGTGTGTGTGTGTGTGTGTGTGTGTGTGTGTGTGTGTGTGAGTGTGAGTGTGAGTGTGTGTGTGTGTGTGTGTGTGTTGTGTGTGTGTGTGTGTGTGTGTGTGAGTGTGAGTGTGAGTGTGTGTGTGTGTGTGTGTGTGTGTGTGTGTGTGTGTGTGTGTGTGTGTGTTGTGTGTGTGTGAGTGTGTGTGTGTGTGTGTGTGTGTGTGTGTATGTGTGTGTGTGTGTGTGTGTATGTATGTGTGTGTGTGTGTGTGTGTGTGTGTGGTGTGTTTTGTGGTGTGTGTGTGTGTGTGTTGTGCGTGTGTGTGTGTATGGGTGTGTGTGCGTGTGTGTGTGTGTGTGTTTGTGTGTG